GTATGTGATATTTTGTATTTTATAAAAAATGTCTGTACACTATACTAATTACTACTAAAAATTGTATTTAAAACTACACTACTACTATTTCTACTAACTAAAACACAACAAAACCAGACAAAACACAAATAAACACAAAAACAAAAACGTATAATCACAGGAAAAGGCGGTAAACAACACCCTTAGCAACACCAAAACGGACAAAGCAGTTGGAAATTTATTCACTATTCGGCACAAAAAACCCTACAAATTGTTAAATTGTACCGTTGTTTCCAAACCATCAACAACTAAGCACTACTTAGTTAGGTAAGTTGGATATAGGCAGCGTACGGTGCAAACGAATTGGAAGTTAAGTAAGACTTATACTTAAGCAGTACTTTGTTAAGTCTGCCTTAGTAAAATGTCAGTGCAAACGGGCATCAGACTATCACTTTGGTTATTAAACTTACTCGCTAGTTTTTCTCCTATTTCAGTAAAATGTCTGTTGAATTCATCAGAGATTTTCTTTTTTTTGTATATATTTGCACTTTCTACCTGTAAATAAGGAACTTTTGTAGCTATTTTCTTACTCTTACCTATCTTCTCATTAGCATAATTCCACAATTTCTTAGAATCATTTTTGATTTCATTTACTCTTCTAGCTTCTTCCATATTTTTGGCTTTAGTCTTGATTTTAGTTAATAGTTTGTTATAATCATTATATTCTTTGTATGTTTCTCGATTACTCTTATCAATCTTCCATATACCATATAGTAACTCCTTTCTTTGTATCGATACCATAATTCCCTTTGTGATCCATTCCTTTCTTGCCATCATACTTTTACTTTTTCTCTTATTTTTCTTTTTCGTTTTTTTTCGCTCCTTCTATACAATACTGTATCATTTCAATTAACTTTTCAATTGCAGCTTCACTATTTTCATACCTTTCATGTACATTCCAGTCTAGTATATCAGCTATTTCTATTAGCATTTTATTAGATACAGTATCATATGAATCAGCTTCATCCTTTTTTGTATTATTTACTTCATTAGATCCACAATCAAAAGTTACTAGCAGAGGGTAGTGGTCTGTAATGGGTACTTCGTAGGTGAGAGATTTTACTCCATTTGTCTTCTCTGATTTTAAATAAAAATTGTCAATACATGTACCATTGCTGGCACTAGGTCTCGTTACTTCTTGGAAAAGCGGAAAGTATCCCTCACTAACAAAATTATTTAATAAATCTTCAGCATGTTCATCTGGATTCAGTAAATCCAAATTAAAATCTCCCACTACAATATGATTTTTTGTATTTGTATGCATTGCAATCATTTCCATTATATTCTGCACAAAGTCAACCTTCTTCACAGAGTGACATCTGCATACTCCACTTATTAAGTAGCTTATTCTTCCTATTTTNCCGAAATTGAGCAAATAGCCACTTTTATGGGCCACACCAAAAAAACACACGCAGAATTTTATAGGTATTCTTTCTGCTTATTTTTTTATTAATACACATATTAATTACCAGTAAATACCTTAATATGGAAATCTCTATAGTCGCGAATTGTGACTGAAGTACACCTCTAATAGTTTTATACTAAACAACCACATGATACGAAATTGTGTTATTAATATAGTTTTCGTTTCAGATTACCACAAGATATTTATCAGACCGCCAAAGTGGCTAAAGTCTTGATGCTTCTTGAAAAAGGAAAAGCAAACGAAGAAAACGGAGAAATTCATTTATGTAATGACGTTTACTACAGTTCTGAATCGGATGAATGTGACTTAGAAGAATCTGTACCACAGAGAGCATTAAACAGGATTTCGAGACAAGGAACTAATAATTCTGTGCGTAAATCAGGAAAGGCAGAAAGAAAAACCTAAAGGTAATAGTGAATTTGATGTAATTATTTGTCTTTACGAAAATGTGAATTTTAGGGCCGACAAAGCAACAAGGGAGGGTAAAGTGGTGTGAGAAAGAAAAGAAAATTGTCCTTAAATACTTCTCGCGTTTTTGGACGATTTGGGCGGCTTATGCCAGCCATGCGCCACTCAGATGATTGCCGATTCGACTCCGGAGTGAAATGATGTATCCATGTTTCATCCATGGTCACGTATCGACGCAGGAAATCCTTTTTATTGCGAGTAAATAGCGATAAACAGTTCGCTGAATCGTCGACTCGTTGCTGTTTTTATTCCACTGAAAGCAATCGCGGCACCCACTTGGAAAAAACCTTTTCATTGCTCAAATTTTCATGAAGAATTGTAAGTACGCTTCCAGATGATATCTGTGTTATTTCTGCAATCTCACGGACCTTCACTTTACCCGAACGTTCCGCATCGTTTGTGTTCGTACGACCACGTTTAAACTCTGCATACCAACGACAAATCGCTGGTTTTGATGGAGAGGAGTCCGGGTAACGTTTCTCATGCCCGTTTGCACCGACGTAAATAAGTACTACTTAGCTTTAAGTAGTTCTTAAAAGGCGAAAATGGTTTGCACCGAAAGTTAAGTCGAGCTTAAGAATCGAAACAGATGCTTAACTTTAAGCAAAGGATGTTCCTGACTTAAGCATTGCTTAAGTCTGTCGTAAGAATTTCGGTAGTAGTTCGGTATTTTTCGTTGCGAGAACAAAAAAATAACATGGTTATAGTAAAGAGGTTATTATCATATTTACTATTAAATAATAAAATAAGCAATATGGTAATTATTAAACTAAATTATTATTAAATGGAAGTTAGTGTGTGTTATCGTTTATGTTATTGTATTGTAATGTACGGATTAATTACATTCCAAGAGTAGTAATTAGCATGTGATGAAATATTAGAAATTTGAAAATGTACACAATTTAGCTGGAGTAGTGATAAGAACGTCATTAGCTGATCATTAGTAATTAAAGTGAACCAACAATATACAATAATAATACATTTCATCAGAAGCCGAAGCAATTAACCATCACAATAGAAGCATTAACAAGTTGTTAAGGAAAGGTAGTTGGAACAACTTCATCATTAGGTACAGCAAACATAGGGAAACACATACATTAAAAATATATCTCATCAGAAGCAGAAACAATTAACCATGACAGTAGAAGCATTAACAAGTGATTAAGGATAGTTGGAACAACTTGGTCAATACAGTAAACATAAGAAAACTGTTGTATATAAAAGGCAAATTTTGCAGAATATTCTTCAGTAAGTATTTGTCTTCTGTTTTGTGCGTTGTCAAATATATTTGTGAGCTGTTGTCATTTTTGTGTTATTGTTGTTTTCCTGTTTTTATTAATTGTTATATAGTTGTTGCTTTTCTGTTTTTGTTATTTCTTTTTTTTGTGATATTAATTACAATTTTTGTTAACTTGCACTATGGATTTGCAAAACATTAATGATATTTTTGATGACGGTATGGAATTATTGGAAATTGTAGATTTTGGATTTCCAAGAATGTTATATACTCGTTCAGATCATTTTCATGAAATGGACGAGTATACCTTTTATCAACGGTTTCGTTTAACGAAACCGACATGCTTAAGGATTCTGCCACTAATAGAGGAACAGTTGGAATTCCCTAACAACAGGTAAGTTAATTGTGAGAAGTTTCTTTTCAGCAAGTCACAAAGAAATTTTAAAACATTACAGGAATAACAGTGTATCTCCAATGAACCAGTTATTAACATGTATGCGATATTATGCTTCTGCTGGTCACCTGGTAGCTATCTCCGACTTTGCAGGGATGCATACTTCAACAGCATCACGTATCGTAAACAGGGTGTCCAGAGCTATAGCATCTTTAGGGGCACAATTTATAAAACTGCCTGGCACACAGGAGGAAGTTGTGCAAGTTCAAAATGAATTTTTTGGAATTGCTGGGTTCCCTAGAGTTATAGGTGCTGTAGATGGAACACACATAAAAATTCAATCACCAGGTGGTGATGATGCAGAAGTGTTTCGAAATAGGATTTTTCTATAAATGTACAAGTTGTTGGAAATGCAAACTTGGAAATAATGGATATTGTTGCAAGGTGGCCTGGCTCAACACACGATTCAACTATATTTAACAACAGTAGGATACGTGCAAGAATTGAAAATATGGAATTTCCGAACTGTTTTTTACTAGGTACATATACTTTTTTTATTTTAATATTGATTCTTACGTAAATTTTTTGTAGGAGACAGTGGATACCCACTTAGGGGCTATTTTTTAACAGCCATGTTAAATCCGCGGGGAAGAGCTTCTGTTCATAATGAAGCACATATTAGAACAAGAAATACAATCGAACGATTGTTTGGCAATTGGAAGCGGCGCTTCCCTGTCCTTGCCTATGGGATAAGGATTCAATTGTAAACAACATTAACAGTGCCACTGCTTTTATTTAATAAATTTAGTTTGGCTTTTTTAATTTCTATATCTAATAACAAAGATTGTTTTTCTAATTCATGCAGCTCTTGTTTATGACGTTGTTGTTGTAGCAGGTGCTGCTTTTCGAGTTCACAAACTTCCAGCCGTTGCTGTAACAGTTTTGTGTACTTATCAGCAACGGCCGATGATGTGAGGGCCCTCACAACAGTGGCCGGACGTCTTCTGCTAGGACCACTACCCTACAAGTATCGATATAAATATTTCACATATAACAGTTACTATCACATTTACTATTGCATTGTGGAGGCTTCTGCTTACTGGCGTTTGCAGTAATGCAGCAGTGCTCTGGCAAGCAGTACTATTGATCTAAAACAAATGAAATGTAATAATGAGCCGTATTTGTAATTTCTGATAATAAAGTACTTCTTGTAGAGGTTCCACCATTCCACTGCCAGTTGCACCTTTGTATACTGGCATATAATCATTTTCGGAGTCCTACAATATACGACATATACAAAACAGTTCTAAAATATTATAGAAAAATGCAAATTTTTCATAAAAGCAATTAACCACCACAACCTTCGACTATTCTATCAATTGTATTGATATTTATAATTGATGAGAGAAAAATCAGTAAGTATACTTATAAGTTTCAATTTTCCATTACCTCATCAGTCTCAGCAATAACTTCTACAGAGTTATCGGCCATAAAGTGCTCCAGCAATGGTGTTTTTGACATTGTCTGCATAATAAAGGGACAGATTAAGTATACTGTATATTTACATACTTTTTATTATTAATATATACTGATGTATTTTTAATAGTTGGTAAGTTGCCCGAATCGCTATCAAATTCATTTGTGAGCCCATGAATGGTTTTGTCATTCACGATTGATAAAATTAAATCCATGTTCGGGGTGTTTAATTTTTTCTCGGGCCCTCCACCTTCAATAAAGTCTTTATACTTGTCTTCTACATAAATAAGTGTATGTTAATTTGTTACCTGTTATGTAACGCTCTTTTCTATCTTCTGCAACTACCTTCCTTATATGCAGTTTTTTATTAGTGTAAAATTTTTTAAGTGAATTTGCCGTCCTATACCGTCCATCAAGACAAGTTGCATTAAATTCCCGTTCAATACGCATCCACATTTGCATTTTTTGATCATTTGTGGTGCCATCAGTTTTTTTGTTTTCTATTACATCCTTATATTTAAATACCAAACTAAACAGTTTTTCTTTTTCAGATGCCGAAAAATTAGCATTTCTACCTTTTTTTCCTGTTAAGCAAAACATTATTTCATCAGTAAATTATAAATTGCTGAAATCGTCTATATTTACCAATATCCATGTCGACTCTGTATGTGATATTTTGTATTTTATAAAAAATGTCTGTACACTATACTAATTACCACTAAAAATTGTATTTAAAACTACACTACTACTATTTTTACTAACTAAAACACAACAAAACCAGACAAAACACAAATAAACACAAAAACAAAAACGTATAATCACAGGAAAAGGCGGTAAACAACACCCTTAGCAACACCAAAACGGACAAAGCAGTTGGAAATTTATTCACTATTCGGCACAAAAAACCCTACAAATTGTTAAATTGTACCGTTGTTTCCAAACCATCAACAACTAAGCACTACTTAGTTAGGTAAGTTGGATATAGGCAGCGTACGGTGCAAACGAATTGGAAGTTAAGTAAGACTTATACTTAAGCAGTACTTTGTTAAGTCTGCCTTAGTAAAATGTCAGTGCAAACGGGCATCAGACTATCACTTTGGTTATTAAACTTACTCGCTAGTTTTTCTCCTATTTCAGTAAAATGTCTGTTGAATTCATCAGAGATTTTCTTTTTTTTGTATATATTTGCACTTTCTACCTGTAAATAAGGAACTTTTGTAGCTATTTTCTTACTCTTACCTATCTTCTCATTAGCATAATTCCACAATTTCTTAGAATCATTTTTGATTTCATTTACTCTTCTAGCTTCTTCCATATTTTTGGCTTTAGTCTTGATTTTAGTTAATAGTTTGTTATAATCATTATATTCTTTGTATGTTTCTCGATTACTCTTATCAATCTTCCATATACCATATAGTAACTCCTTTCTCTGTATCGATACCATGATTCCCTTTGTGATCCATTCCTTTCTTGCCATCATACTTTTACTTTTTCTCTTATTTTTCTTTTTCGTTTTTTTCGCTCCTTCTGTACAATACTGTATCATTTCAATTAACTTTTCAATTGCAGCTTCACTATTTTCATACCTTTCATGTACATTCCAGTCTAGTCTATCAGCTATTTCTATTAGCATTTTATTAGATACAGTATCATATGAATCAGCTTCATCCTTTTTTGTATTATTTACTTCATTAGATCCACAATCAAAAGTTACTAGCAGAGGGTAGTGGTCTGTAATGGGTACTTCGTAGGTGAGAGATTTTACTCTTTATATCTGTCTTCTCTGATTTTAAATAAAAATTGTCAATACATGTACCATTGCTGGCACTAGGTCTCGTTACTTCTTGGAAAAGCGGAAAGTATCCCTCACTAACAAAATTATTTAATAAATCTTCAGCATGTTCATCTGGATTCAGTAAATCCAAATTAAAATTTCCCACTACAATATGATTTTTTGTATTTGTATGCATTGCAATCATTTCCATTATATTCTGCACAAAGTCAACCTTCTTCACAGAGTGACATCTGTATACTCCAGTTATTAAGTAGCTTATTCTTCCTATTTTTATCCGTATGTCAATGTATTTTATTCTGCCTATTTTATTTAGTTTATATGTATGTTCCAAATTTTCCTGAACATATATGCACACCCCATCAGCCTTATTTATCTTGCTACCATTATAATGGCATTCATATCCAGGAATTTGCACAAATCCTTCATTCCTTATTGTCCAGGTCTCTGTGCATATAATTACCACAGGTTTATACGATAAGCTTTCCACCAAACTTTCAGGACTTGCAAGGTTTGCAACTAGACTACGTATATTAACTAATAATACAACAGTTTTTGAGATCACAAGGTGTGAATTTACTTCAGTCAAATTTCCACATTTAATTTCTCTAAAGTTGTCATTCATATTATCAATCAATTGGTTTATTTCATTGCTGTCCATGATCTTCAGAAAATTTTAGCCCATCTTCATAATCTGTTATATTAATTTTATATTTTATTTGCCTCGTATAGCTGCTGCAAGTCTTGTAGTCATTAGCACAATGATCTTCTGTTACCTTCGCACTTGTTCTTTGAGTTTTCCTATATACAAGCAAAAGTTGTAGTAAGAGAAATTGACGTTCGTGGAAGGGTATAAAAAGAGTAATAAAGCCATAAATAAGGACTTTCGAAATTTATGGACTTGAAATTTATGAATAGCAGAATTATTTACGACAAGGCAATAAAAAAAGCTTTCGTGACGGATGCAACACTCCCCCGGTTGAGAGTTCTACGATCAAGTACATTCGACTAATTAAATATTAATTGACAATAGTTGCACACTGGATTGATTATTTAAATATGCAATCACTTGTTGATTGCGATGGTTTAGATTGAATCTATACTAAATATAAAAAGATATACTTAAATATATGCATAAATTGAAAAAATAGACAAATACTTATAATAAACAATAATATAAACAAATTATTATAACGTTAAAACGAAATCTATACTAAACACATACTACAAATGCAGCTGCAATTGTAAAGGATACACAGGTGACAAAAGTTTGATTGTTCGAATTGATTAATCGTTTAATATATCACTCACTATCGACTGGTAGTGGTGCCAAACGTCTCACATTTCTTATCACTTTACCCGCGGCCGTTTTGACCTTCACAGTTCTTATTATACAATCAGAGTCCTTGAATTCTTCTATAACACGACCTAGGCGCCACTGTAGATGCGGAAGGTTATCGTCGCGAATAATAACGGTGGAACCTTCCCTGATCGGATGTTCTCCTTGATTCCATTTATTTCGAATATTTAATTCATGTAAATATTCCTTGTGCCATTTATCCCAAAATTCTTGTTTTGACCTTTGAACTTGCTGCCATAGTGATAATCGATTGGATGGAATATGAGCTAAACTTATATTTGGACGAAACTTATAATGTATCGCCAATCAAACGGTGAGCTGGAGTAAGTGCAGTAGGATCGTCTGGGTCAGAGGTTAGGGGGGTGAGTGGTCGAGAATTAAGAATAGCTTCGATTTCAGTTATTAAAGTATTGAATTGTTCGAGAGAAAATAGTTGAAGACCCATAACTCGCCGTAGATGGCATTTGAACGATTTTACTGCTGCCTCCCATTGCGGAGGAATAAAATGCCACTCGATTCCCTTATCCACCAGATAATTGTTGACTTGATTGTTGTGATTAGTACTGTTTAATAATTCGGCTAATTCCTGAGGTTCGTTTTTTGCTCCAACGAAATTAGTTGCGTTGTCGGAATAAATAGAAGCACAATACCCTCTTCTAGAAATGAATCTGCGCAATGCTCCTAAAAAACCTTCTGTCGAGAGATCGCTTACAGCTTCCATGTGCACCGCCTTGGTGGCAAGACAAACACATATCGCAACGTACGTTTTAACCTTTTTTCGGTTACAGTAATCGACGCCAGTATTTATGAATGGTCGGCATTTAGTTGTACGTACCCTTGGTAAATCACCCATAATGTAGTTAACGTCTACAGGCTTTACTCTAGCGCAACGTACACATTTTCGTACAATTTTTTGTACTTGATTTTTTCCGTCGATTGGCCAGTAATTAAAACGAAGATTGTTTAACATTAATATTACGTAACCGTGTAGACTGTTGATATGTTCTTGTTCGATAATCAGATTGGTTAAATGATTTGATTTGGGTAATATTATGGGATGTTGTTGATTGCATGATAGATCGGAATTTTGTAGTCCACCACTGACTCTTAAAATATTATTTTCGTCTAGGAATGGTCTTAAGGGTAATAATTTACTTTTCGATGAAATTGGTTGTTTCTTTTGAAGACGGGCTATTTCGGCTTGAAACGAAGAAGCTTGTGCTATTTTTATCAGTAATTGTAACGCTTTGCTAAGTTCGGGTATAGTTAATACGCCTTTGTTAAAATTTGATGTTTTAAAGCGTAAACAAATGGCGATAACCCGTTGAAGTTTATTGTAAGACGAAAATCTATTGATAATGCTGTAGTCTATTGTGGAGGTTACGAGACATGTCCTCTTGCGTAACTCAGGTAATTCGATGTCTTCTGTTAAATTTGACGATTGTAGAGGCCAATGATCCTCTCCCCCGGCTAACCACTTTGGTCCCATTTTCCATTAATCTACCTTATTCAAACCCGCAAGTAAATCGCCAGTTGGATAAATTGGTAATTGCTTGAATATCTGATACACGGTTGGCTATAAATGTTTTCAGAAGATGAGGTGATTTACGAATCCATTGTAATGTGATCATTAAGTCGGTCCAGAAACATACTTGATTGATGTGAGTATCGATGGATGATTTGACTGTAGAGTATAAATTTGAAAGATGTAGATCTGCACACAATTCCAATTTGGGGATAGTTTGTATAGTTTTGATAGGAGCTACCTTGGATTTTGCACCCAATAGTCCCACTCGAATATTTCCTGTCGTGTCAACTGAACGCAAATAAATACAAGCCCCGCACGCTCTTTCGCTCGTGTCGCAGAAACCGTGGAGTTGAATGTTAATTGGTTGATCATGCTGTATTTTTCTTGGAAAGGATATTTTGTTTAAAAATGGTAATTGTGATGCAAATGTGTGCCATGTAGTAATGATCTCCAGTGGTAACGATTCGTCCTAATCTAGCTTTAATTTCCATATGTCCTGCATTAACAATTTTATGGTTACTATAACCGGACTCAATAGACCAAGGGGATCAAATATCTTTGAAATCTCAGAAAATATAAATCTTTTGGTAATGGATGTTGAAAATGACATAGGTTTAACGGTGTATATAATTTGATCATTCTCAGAGTTCCAATACATACCGAGTGTTTTCAGAGTGGGATCGTTTTTGTCTTGTAACTGTTTATGCTACAGTCAGGTAAACCTTGTAGTGCTCGCAATGAGTTAGAAGCGCACTGCCTTAGGTTAAATCCACCTGCTTTTAGAAGGTTGATGACCTCATCTCTCAATTGAACTACTTCTTCAATTGTTTGAGCTCCGTTTATAAAATCATCAACA